TTTAAATTTCACTTTCTGCACATTCATTGTCAGTTTATAGAGATGGGATAATTTTTTGTGTGTTGATCTTGGGTCTTGATGGATTCATTATTAGTTTTAGGATTTAAAACAAAAATTCCATATATTGCTTGTACGATTCTTCAGTATTTTCTACATTGACAATCATCTTATCTATAAAGACAGTTTTATTTCTTCCTTTATAATGTATATGCAATTCACTTATTTTCCTTATCTTTTGGAGTGGCTGCAACTTTAATACTCAATATTAATTAGCTATTCCTGGTCCCAGGAGAAAAACATTCTGTTTTTCACTATTAATTATGCAGTTGGATGTTTTTCTTTTTTTTTTTTTAACACATATGTTCTTCATCAAATTGAGGTTCTTCCCAACTATTTCTAACTTGGTAAGAATTATTTTTATCATGAATTGGTGTGGAATTTGTCAAATGCTTTGTCTGCATCAATCAGCCTGATGGTAGTTTTTGTTCTTCAGCTTTATATGATGGAGTACACTGATTTGCTTACACATAGTATATAAGTTTTTTATATATTGTTGGATTTGATTTACTAAAACTCTGTAGAAGATTTTTGCACTTAAGTTTATGAGTGGCAGTGGTCTGCAGTTTCTTTTATTTTTTTGACTCTACTTGGTTTTTAGCATCAGGGTTCACGCTGAATAAATTCATAGAATGAATTGGTAAGTGACCCTTTTCTAGTTTTTAAAGAGGCTGCACAGGACCGGGCAAATAGCTCAGCAGATTAAGGTGACTGCAAGCAAGAGCAGGTTCAATCCCTGGGCCTGCCATGCCAACCCCACCCCCAGGGCACACTGAGACGGTGATTGAAACTGGGCGTGGTGGTGCACACCTGTAATCCCAGCTCTTGGGAGACTGTTAACAGGTGGGTCACTATGAGTTTGATTTAGTAGTGAGACTTGGAACAACCTGTAGACCCTTCCCTAAAATAAAAAAAATTAAAAAAATTAAAAAATTAAAAAAAGAGGCTATAAAAAACTGATTTCAATTTTTGTTTAGATGTTTAATAAAATTCTTCAGTGATACCATCTGGGCCTAGGGATTTCTTTCTCAGAAGGTTTTAAGTTGTTTATTCAATTTCTTTAATAGTTACAGGAATAATCAGATGAATTTATGGTAGGTTTTTAGCTACCTGGTAGTTTGTGATTCATGAAGTTGCTGCTAGTGTTCCCTTATTGCCTTTGAAACAGGAGCTGTGTCCTGGCGGGAGGAAGATACAGAGGAGAGCAGGCAGAGTTGAGGGCGTTTGGGAGCCTTATGGAAGGGAAATCCTCTTTTCAAGACTGAGAGAAGGGGGACAAGTGTGGAATCAGCAGGGCTGGAGTAGCTGCTGAGACTCAGTACTGCGGACATCTGGTCCCCTCTTGAGTTGGATGACTTGTTTCTGGGCACCTAACGGCCCCACTTCCTGACTTTCTCCAGCATCTGGGCTTTGAGGTGAGCAGGTGGTAGTGGGGAAGACACAGGAGTAGAGACCAGCAGGCAGAGAGAAGGCCAAGGAGCACTGGGAGACTGGTGGGGCCGAGCAGAGGCCAGCGGATCCCAAGCCTCTTCACTACCCACCACTCCATCCCTCAGAACCTGGTGGAGTGACCAGAAGGTGCTAGGATGACACAGATGGACTCTTGAAGTTCAGCGTGAAGGTGAGGGAAAGATAACATCCTGCGCACCCCCGTGTATGGCAAGGGTATGGTAGGGCACTATCAGGGAGGGCTGGCTGGCTGAGCACATGTGTGGAGCCAGTGAGGACCACATATGCATCTGAGAGTGCTCAGAGGGGAGGAACTTGTGTCTGACAGTGGACTCTAGCCAGGACGGAGGCCACTGATGTTAAAGGACAGTGTTGCAGAGCGTCAGGGGCAGAGCAGAGGAAAAGAATGGAGGATGGGGACAAAGGAGAGGCAGCCCCTAGAGATGGCAGATAGCAGCATTCTGACTTGCTGCTTGAGAGATGGACTGGCTCCTCACAGCACCACCTTGCTGTGAGCATCCAGTACCCCGTTCTCTTCTAGTGGGTGAGCTCTCATCATTCTTTGTTTCTGCCACTTCCTTGCTATCACCATCAAACACAATTTCCACAACTATCCATTTTTCAGTCCAGTGTAGAGTATAAGTATAATAAAGTTTTCACTCCTGTATTTTACACAAAAGTAAATACACAAAAATAAGTTCCCAAATAAGTTATACACAAAAATAAGTTCCCAAATTTTATTATTGAAATGAGTCTTATGGTGGTAGACTCGTTTTTGGTGAGCCCAAGAAGTCTGAACTCTGCTGGATATATTCACATATTTGACAAATCCTTTGTGAGTCCCAGATTTGGTGGGCACAGCAGGGCTCAGAGTAGGGCTGGACAGGACCAGGGAGATGGCTCAGTGGAATAAGTGCTTCCCTAGCAAGTGAAAGGGCCTGAGTTCAATCCCTGGTTCCGCAAAAAAAAAAAAAAAGAATAGGGCTGGACAGTGGCACCCGCACCGAGGAGGTCAGGACTGGGTCTGGGAGGGCCACTGAGGACATGTGCTGCACGGATGATATCAGGGAAAGAGCCCAAGCCCAAAGGCAAGAGAAAGCATAGTGAGGCAGGAGGGGCAGAGAACCAGCCCTGACAGCTAGAGAGTAGACAACACTGAGGCTGGAGAGCAGCCAGTACCTGACTTGGATGCCTGCAGGAAGGCAGTGACAGCAACAGGCCCAAGTGTGTAAAGAGCAAGCTCAGGGCCCTGTGTGGACCAAGGAAGTCTTCCTGGAGGCACCGTTTCCAGGGATTCCCAAGGGTGAGCCAATGACAGGAGAGGAGGTGGGAAGGAAAGGGGCCACAGGAGCAGCTAAGGGAGAGGCCAAACAGAAGTGTCAGGTGGCATGTGCAGCTGCCCACGGAGGCAAGTGACCTTCTGACAGCTGACCCCTGCCCTCTTCTTCCTCACAGCAAATTCTTTGTGTGGCTCAGGTGAGCCCCTGATGGCCCAAGGTCAACAGATCTTCCTCTTCAGAGCGCAGCTGTGTCAGCTTTCTAAAGCAGAGTGGCACAACTCTGGAAAGTGGAGTGAAAGACACCACACAGGGCTCTGGGAAGCAGAATCCTGCACCTGCCCTGTCTACCTGCCTGAAGCTCCTGGCAGGCCCTCTACCAGGAGGAGAGCCACAGTTGTGCGAAAAGAAAGTCATATCTCCTTTGGCAGAGCTGCATCCCAGACTTCCCACCTCTGCAGAGTGCTACCTGCACAGGGCTGCTGCCCCAGCCCAGCACTGAGTGGGTGGGGGTGTGGACGTGGCATTTGCCCTCCCTCAGGGGCAAACGGCTCATATGACTAGCACCTGGGCCCTTCATCCTGTGTGACATGCACTCACCTTCTAGCATTCCCACCCTGTCCCTCGTCAATGGTGAAATGCCATCAGTCCCCTTGAAATTAGGGAACTCTTGGCATCAAGCTCTCTGCCCTTCTTTTCAAAATGATTAACTACTAGAGAAAAATTTAATATCTTTTACATGAAAACAATCTTGGGATAACTTGGGGCTTGTAACATCATGTTAGCATTCCTGCAGATCTGACAACATTGTGGCTTATTATCTTACCATTGCGAAGTCAATGTAGAAAATACATCATCTCTTTCAGATTCCTGGAATAACTTCAGAAGTTCTGGATCCCCAGATAAATGTGCAAGAATGCGCAATTCGATCTGTGAAAAGTCTGTCAGACAGCTCTGTGTTAATGCAATCTCACCACCGCTTGCTGCTGCACTGCCCCAGCCCAAGCGCAGGCGCCCTCCACTCTCTTGTGTGGGCTCCTCCAGCCTTGGGGAACAGCCACTGGCTTTGCCTCCTTGAGACTAACACCACCTCCAGGGTGGGTGGTGTGCACTGATTTGTGCATTCACTCATTCTACACACCACAACTTTAGGAATTTGAGAAGCCAGGCTCTGTGCATGGGATGTGTTATGGAACAAAAGACAAAATTCTCTTTCCCCATGGAGCTTAAATTCTAGAAGCAGGAGACAGAATTGGAATAAATTATTAGGTAAGGCCAGTGAGTAAGCAAGGGGAGAGATCAGGGAGGAGGGTCAAGGTGGAGAGGGACATACTGAAGGGGCCTGGCAGGGTGTGTGGGATCTAACCATGGCAAAGGAAGGGGACCTCAGAGCCAAAGACCTGCTATTAATTGTGTGTAAGAAAACTTTGTTGCATATAAATATTTGCCTTAGGATTTATTTGGAAGAATGAGCTATATAAGAGCCCTTGAGTTATTCCAGTTGTCAATATTTTGAGCTGCATGGAAATGCATAAAAGTGAGCTTGCGCATACCTGCTGCCAGGAAGGTGTGGCCTTTGGAGGACACCAACAAGGCTCTTGGAGAGATAGTGAGAGTCTTTTCTGCTTTACCTGGAAGTCATTACAAGAGCATTTGGTGAGCACGGACAGGAGCTGGCTTGCAGCTGTTCCTCAAAACAGAACTATTTTAATGTTTTAATGTTATACAAAATCAAGAGCCTGGATTTTTTTT